TTTCGAATGTTGCTACATTTGTTTTCAAGTTTTGTGTTTCGTGTAAGCTTATGTAAGAGCCAGATCAGGCCTAAAATGGAGTACTGCTGCCATATTTGGCCAGGAACTGTCTAGTCCACACTTTGCAGTTTCGATAGAATTCAAAAGCCAGTGTATATGTGACAAATTATTTTCTTCCCTACAACACCTCTTTCACGGACGAGATGTCGTAAGCCTTTCACTACTCTATCGCTACTACATGGAACGTTCTCAGACAAACTACATTCCTTAGTTCCACCAGTTCTAAACGTCACGGCTAGGACCCTCTGTGTTACGGACATTGTGGCGAACCACCCGCACTCCTTTCGTATTTCATTGGGGAGAAGTTCCATTCTAGCAGCTTCCTCCCGTGAAAGGATGCTCCGTGGGACCAACTCACAAGAGGATGTTTTCCCTAATCACTATAATCTTAACCAAGTCTGTGGTTAAACGTTATCTTCCCCATATATCCGCATAAACTGTGTCCCTTACTCTGTAAACATCTACCTCGAGTGGTTACCGAGCCTTATACAGGGCGATCTGCATTGTCAAAAAGAAAAAAAAAAGAAAACCGTTTTTGGTTACTTAAGATTTTCCCATGATTTCTGGAACGAATTTCAAGTCAAATGGTTGAATATTCAAATTCAATTTTGAATTTCATGTCACGTGTTCAATTTGCGTTGGTTTGCGCTGTTTTCGACAGCTTATCAGCCTTTTGCAAGTAATTTAAAGCCCAAGAATATTTTAGATAATAAGAATTTGGGGCAGATAATAACGATTTAGGTTATACAAGTCATACTAATTAACTCGTACCTTGGAGGAGAAGAGACAATTTCAAACCTTCTCCAAGTGCGTTTGCACGTGAGGGAATAAAGCGAACCTGACTGGAATTGAAACTCGGCTCTCCGATTAACATATTTCGATCTAGTTTCCATTATAACACCCGCACATCCAAGTAGCTTGTATTCTCAAGCGGTCACCCATCTAGGTTTTGACCAGGCTCAACGTGGCTCAACTTCGTACAGAAATGGGTGTTTCAACGCGATATGACCGTAAGCCCACATGTTCAAGCGAACAGATTTATAAAATAAGAAATGTTTATGCCCGCCATGTTTATGCCCGCATTAAGATATCGGGCAGACGCTCGATATCTTAATGCTTTGCCTTTTTCCGAATTATAATGTTTCCTTCGGCAAGGCACTTCTTTACAACAATATTAATCAATTTGACAAAATCTCACATATGGCTTTTTAGACGGGCCAACTTTCTTTTGTGAAAAGTAACTTTTTTTCGAAAATCAAATCTTTTTTTAATATCGAACGTTATATCTTTCGGGTTATCCTATCTCCGTTTCCAGCATTTCCGTGTTTAATTTTTATGGTTCATTACTTAGTCAATTACCATAGCTAAATAGTGTCACAATATTCAAAGCTGGATAATGAGGATCGTGAAGATTCGTCTAGATATTACAACAATAGTCCATTTTTATTCTAATATCTTGGTTCCCACGTTGGTCGCATTTTGATTTTCAAGTGGGGCAATTATTAACAGTGAAGTTGTTTCTAGTGAGTCTGTGTGAATATGATTGCCTGTTCGGGTTAATGCATAAAAATATTTCTATGTTTGTAGATACATGTGTAATTACGTATATATATATATATATATATATATATATATAGTGACCTAAGAAAGATTTTTAGCGAGGAGAAATAAACTACATCCAGTTTCGAAATTTAATTACGTAATCACTCTTCAACATAAATAGAAAAATTGAAACTAGAATGGAGTAGGTCCATCATTTGCTTGCTTCGGAACTTGTATTCGATTTTTCATGGATTTGATCAAATTATCAACAATCGTCTGCGCCATATTTTGCCACTCCTTTTTGGTTGCATGCTCTCAAAGTCTTTTGTCAAGTTGCTCCTAAACGTGCTCTATTGGATTCATGTCAGGATTTTGGGCTACACATGGCAGTAACTTGATTCCTTGCGATTCCTTCCAGGACTTTGATTCTTTGCTCGAATGACATGGTGCTCCATCTTCTTGAAAAAGGTAGACATTCTTGTCAACCTGATTGGTTTCAAATAGTGGGAGTATTCCTTTAACTAATATTTGACAGTATTTTGGACCATTCAACCGCTCGTCAACAAGAATTATCTTACTGTTTTTAAACTACAATTATCCATGTAAAATCGACCTGGGTAACCTAAACCATCCTCTGTGGCTCAATCGGTAAAAGCACGTCAGGCTATATGAGGATTCCGTATAGGATACAGGTTCGATTCCTGTCGGAGGACACATATTTTCTATGAAGATTTCTCGGATATTCAGGCCGGTAAATGTTGTTAATACTGTTTATTATAAAGCAGAGCATTTACTTAAATATTTTTATCTATAAAAAATGTCTTAAAAATAATTGTTGGACTTTGTCCATTTCATATATATATATATACGAAGTTTGTCTGAAAAGTAACAGGACTGA